GACTAGAACAATGAAATCTCAACTGCATTTACAGCCATCTTATGAGGAACTGATAAAACAAGCATTTGGCGCTGATGACAGCCGCCCGTGAATTGAACATATAATAGACAGAAGGGCAATGAGGTACATATTAAGCCAATATGGTAGTCAGTTTGAGGTAAAACTGCTGGGGATGTTCAAAAGAAAAACTGAACAGCAAAGGACAAAGAAGAATCAACTGGTAGTGGAATAACTGCTGAACTCGGTGACGACAACAGCAAAAATATTTAAACGAAAGGTCAATGGAAGCGAACTATCTGAAAGTCGAACTTGAAGCACAAATCAAACTTTGAAGAGAACACTAGAAAGAAATGGCAAGCGCTGCGCCAAAACAATCACTACCAAACAGTGTTGAAATGTATTCAATGGCAAATGCGGAAGAAGAATATGACTTAGGGCCGTCAGACCAGGTTATGAGAGAAGACGAAGCAAGAGGAAGAACACAAGGTGCACAAAGAGGATTGATGGCAAGAAAAGAAAAAGAAAAGAACAAACAAGGTAGATGCTGATATTTCATCCACAGTCCCTGAAAGACAAACCAGAACACACAAGAACACCATTGACTATTCAACTCAATGGAACCATTGGAATTCAACTCAATTGAAACATTGGAAAGGAAGCATAGTAAGTAAACATGACATACTTTATCAATTACATCCAAAAGGAGCAGGACTTTCCGAAGCGCAGGAAGAAGAATACGCAAATAGAAAGAAGGAAGGAAAGGACAGAAGTGAAACAAGCAGTACTTTTTTAGTTAGACTGGCGAGAGAACTAACCAACAGCGGGAAATGGACAACAAAGGTAAATGATGAGTTACTAAGGAAAACAATGACAGATTGGCGCGGTTCGATCATTTTATATACATATTTTACAAACAAAAAAAACAAATGATGAACAACACAACACGCTATTTGAGGCGTCGGCCTACATTTGACGAAATGCTAAACGAAGCGATGACGCACAAATTACTGTAATAATCACAAGCATACCAGAAAACTTGTCAGTAGATTGCCAATGAAGGAAATTGGTTTGGATGAATTTCATTGAATGAACAAACACATTAAGAACAAACATATGAATAATGGTAACAATATGTATGTTCCCGGAGATGACACTTCACAAGGCAACACAAACACATAACTAAGAAAACAATCGAACGCAAACAGACCTAGCAAACAAAAAAGCAACTCAAACAAATAATTATGATGTCAAATCAAAAACTCGCATCTAAGTGGGTATTCAAAGAGCTTCAAAAGTAATCCGATGAATAGGGCAGGGCAGAAGCCGACGCAGAAGCGTTTACAATGACGATGATGACAATGATGATGAACACAATAAGACAAGGCTAAATCTGATTAGGATTATATAGAGTTTAAGTTATCATTGTTATAACGTGGACCACTTCACCCCCTATTCGTGTAAATTATTCCCCGCCTATCATTACTCTTGATAGTTCTTCCTCGCACACGGTGAACTATTCAAGTTCATCAGACGCAACTGCTAATTATGAGCCAGCTCCAACAACTGACATACCAGTCCCTAATTACTGATGTTGAAAGTGAAGAAGATGACAAAGACAACTAAAAAGGACGATCAAACATAATACAATAATGAAATACGTATTATTAGACCTTCTACAAGAACTGGTAAGACATGATACTTTTGTTGCTGGTAAGACAGCTTCATTTGGTGCTAAGAGTCATGAGCGTTTCACTGATTGTCATTTTAATTAAAGCAAGGCGTCAAAATATGTGAAACGGCATTTGTCAAATGAATGATTTAATCATGTTGACACTGTTGGAACTTGTTGTTTTCATTGTCTGGGGAAAAGAACACTTACAACGAAGCAACAAGACATGTAGAAAATAAACAACATGAACAACACATATATCAGACATAATATCATGTTCAAATGAAACATATCGTCTTCAAATAACATGCGAGTAATCACGTTTAGAAACAGCATCAATTGCATACTCATTTTTGTAGTTCCTGATGAAATGATATGTTTGGTTTTTCTGCCTATCCTTTTTCTTCTTCCTCTTCTGCTTTCTTTGCCTCCCTCGCTGCCTTCTTGCTTTGATAAAGCGCTCTTCTATTCCTTCTCTTTCGCTCCCTCACCTTCTCTATGTGATCAGGTTCTTCTCCTTTCCTTTTATGCGAATACACACGGGAAAACCGTGCCATATGCTCTCTGAGTTCATCCCATGTCAGGCCCTCTGGTTTCTTAACAGCCATTCTGATTGTATTTAACAATGCTCCTTGAAGACTATTCGGAACAATACTATGTCATAACATTTTAAGACTAGAAGCACTTCAAGAAATAATATTATAGTTGATAGTTAAACTATATTATGATCAAACAGATTGAACATTGCAAAAATACGGTTTAACAATTTAAGGGACAGCAAAGTAGGCAAAGCTTCACCGGACATACCATATAAACAAATTAACAATGTGGTTGATTTATATGAAGACCGTAGAAATTCACAATTTGGAACTGCTAATAAGCTAATACCCTAAGAAAAGCGACGCAGGATTAAACAACCATGAAAGGCGGTGGCAAAATATGAAGAAGCAGAACCCATCAGAGAAATATGAAGCAACTGCAAAGAAAGCAAGGACAGGCAAGGAAGTTAAAGCAGTGGTAAACAAACGTGATAAACAGCCCCCCATGTTCAATTAACGGCATTATCCGGATTGTCAAACAAGGCTAAGGCTAGTTTCACGACAAAATTACAATGTTAAGTTAAAGTGTTTTTCTCACGCGAAGACTGCTCATGTCAAAGCCAACAAGTTGATTAAGACACTGGTAAAAAGGAAAATTAGAAGGTATCATAGATGAACATAATTTGTATAACAGATTGATAATGACCATCAGCAGTGAGTTTGAAGAGACAGGGACAATAAGAATTGAGTGTATAAAGTTGGTTCAAGCTGGCACATCAAACTATGATCAGAGAGAAGAGCTCTTGCAAGAAAGTGAAATCATCAGCATCTACTACTGGTATGTTCAAACAGAGGTAGATGTTGATGCTAAGGCCGTAAAGGAAGCGCTGGGGAAAAAGAACTACAGAGACAATTAATGCTAAATTAATACACTGCTTGACAATTGTGAAGGAACATACTTAACAAGAGAGAAAAGGAACCACAAAAAAGCCATTATCGCGAAAAACGGTTTAGAGCTAATATACTTATCAAATGAAGAGCTTGTTAAAAATGGTGGTGCATGTATGGATCTCAAAGGGACAAGGCATTTATAATACAACCCTGATGACTACACGAAAAGAAACGGTAAACATATCTAGGGCGCTTGTCAAGAACAACCATGTTTGTTTGTTGAATGATAAATTAAACACCCTGCGTCAAGCGCAACCCAATGACACACTGGAAGTGCGTGCATCAAGCAATAATACCAAATGTTTGATACTATACATGAGTGGCTGAAACTGAATGAACATGAATAAGACATAACCTGATACAATGTGGAACAAGTTGCATATCGGCTTGCAGGAGAGCAATGTGGATCGCTCAATAATTGCAAGGAGGGCAAATATCAAACATCATATCATGGTCAGGCTTCATTTCAAGAAGTTGATACAGCCAGTCAAGTATAACATAGTATTCTTGAAGAACAGCATCTGTCATACTACAATGAAGTTGATATGGCAATCCTGGAAGAATGCAAAACCAGTGAAGGCATTCACATTTGCTGGCACGTGCAATTAAACCCGATTTGCAGACTTTGAGTGGTGGAAACCGTTTACTCAAGACTGCAGTATTGATCAAATGCATGACTTGATCAGGTGTATTGTTCAAGCGTAAGCGGGCAACATCTGGATATATATATATATATATATATGTGGCATGGCTTTGAGAATATTAATTTGGGATGGCACTAACAGAAACAATATATACTGCAAGCAACGTTCATACATATACAAAGAGCAGTTCGTGGACGACCTTTGTGCAACTGATATTACTGACCCAAAAACAACCGCAGATATAAGTCGAGGCACGCTGAACAAGTCGAACAACGCAGCACAGCACAGCAGAGCTTCTATTCATTCAATGGTGACAAAACCTACACAGTAGGTGAAAACAAGTGTATACATATATATATATATTGAGGAAGAAGTAGGGGAACAAATGGAACTTGATAGCGTGGAAAAAAGGCACTGTGCTTTATGTGCTAAATGTGTCCGAGAAAATGTAACTAACACATGTTGTTTAATACAGTAAAATAATTTGCTCTTTGCTTGGCTGTGTTTTGCTTCGCTTTGTTTTGGCTTTGTTTTTGCTATGTTGTTGCTTGGCAATATGTCTTTGCTGGGCTACGTCTTTGCTTGCTTATGTCTTTACTTGCTATATTTCTTTGCTTTACTGCATGCCTTGTATGCCTTTGCTTTCTGCGTGGCCATGTTTTGCCTTGCTATGCCGTTGCTTTGATGTCTTTGTTGGCCATGGCTTTGCTTTGCCACGTTTTTGCCTTGCTATGTCTTCGCCTGGCTATGTCTTTGCTGTGCTATGTGAGTCGTCCGTAACTCGGAAGCTTCTCATCTAAACGTCCTTTGATAATAACAAAACTACGTGGCCCATGATCTGAGATTGACACCTCGCCCATCGCAACGCAGGCTTGAATCAATTGACCTCGCCCCACTTGTCCATTCTACTCCTGCTTCACCCCATGCCCCCAACACGGCAATGTTAACAGAATTCAAGGGGTTGCTGGGGTGACATTGGCTCAAACGCACACACACACACACAAACGTGCAAACACACAAACACACCACACGCAAACAAAATACTTCGCGCTAGACTCAGTTCAGCCCCCTCTGCAGCAACCTGTGTCATGTCAAACTGCAAAACCAAACACCGATGGGGGGCTGAGCTGAGGGAGATCTAGGTGTGAGCGGGCATACATGATGTGCAATGTGTTTTCCTTTTGCTTCAAGCAGCTGCTCAAGCTCAGGATGAATCTCCAGGCCGATTCCCTGAAGTATGTGATGATACTTTTGTATTGCAGCAAGGCGCGTTTGCTCCAGCAGCTTGAAATCAAAAGAACCTGCCGTCCTTGCAATCAAGTCTGGCAAGCTAAAGTTGTTTGCCACCAACTTGCTCAGTTCGTCACCATGCAAGTGTGGAATGTTCATAGATTGCGCCATCTCCAGAGTGCGAAAGTCTGTGGCCAGTAGAATGGATGCTTTCCCTGCTGACACAGCCGCCATAGTTCCATGAATCCGACAGCCTATCACAAAATCCACTTGCTTCAGTTCATGCATCCAATCTTCCATGTTCACAAAGAACTTGATCCGGGATGTGTTCCATTCACTGCCGGCTTTCAGAAGGCGACTTTTCAAACTGGGATAATCATACCTTGATTGCAACACAAAGAAACCGTCATAAGTACGATACAACTCGATCAACAAATTGTACACCTCTGTATGGAAACGCCCGCCAAGTTGCATCTGTGGGAGATGGATTGCGATCCTCAGAGAGCCCAATTGACTTTTCTGCACAGCTCGGTCCCAGTCTCTCTGCAATACGGACCCCAGATTTGCTTCTCGATTGATGGTGAAGCTGGGACAGCCCAACGGCACACATGCACTGAGAATACCTGCTCGCTTGCACAAGTGAGACGTCACGTTGCCACGCACGCTAAAACCATGTGGAGCTCTCAAGGCAACCTCAGTCAGCAACCTGACTGAGCTCTCATGCAGCTGCATAGAGGCAACTGCCTGCGGGATGTCTTGGTCGTCTGGCAGTTCTGCTTGGAGGCCAATTCCAATGAGAATTGATGGTACATTCAACTGCCGGACTTGCTGGGTGAAAAAAGAAGTCAATCCGGACACCGATGAGGGCAACTCGGTTGAGTTCTCGGGTATGTAGAGCAAGTTAGCAGTGGGCAGCACACAGGCATCCGCATCCGCCGAAACATCATTTGGAGGTAAACAGGCTGTCACATAAGGATTGAGCAAGTTGAGTGCGCCGTACTCCCAAACGATATTTCCCAGATTTGCATCCCAGGCCGTGGCCATTTGCCATGCCTTCGCCTGGTCGGTGGCAAGTACAGGGGTCTGCTTAGCTTTTCTCCAGTAGAAAGCGTTCTTCCTGCTCACGATGCGGGGAGTGCCAGGCAACAAATCCAGAATCTTCGGGATGTCAAGGTCGCTCGCGGTCGTGCCCTGTCCACAGCTCTTTGAGGCCGTCGTGTGAGAAGTGTCACAATTGAGCCCCACGAGGTTGTGCGTGGCCACAACAGCCCCCACATGTCCACCGTGTTGGATACAAACATTCACATTGGCATGCGGAGTTTGCAATTGACCAGCCAAGAGTTCGTGGCAAAATGACTCTGCCCAACTTTCGTCCCAGCGCAGTGTGCCCAAGTCTTGTGTAACAATCAACTTTGAACACGTCATCCTTTGAAATCTCCCATTGCACGCTGCAACTGATGGAACCGGGACCAAAACGAAGAGCGACAAATTGGTGGGTCCAACTGGCACTCCAAGGTGAGGCCAAACAGTCCGCAGAGCACGGTTGTATTGGTACGCCATGAGAGTTGCTGAAATCACGATGACTCCCAAAACACCCGCAGCAATTGTACGCCTGGGCAGGCTCAGCATTTCACAGTTGCCAACGTCTCTCCTTGCCAATGAATAGAGGAACGCCCCGCTCATCGAAACCATCACGCCAGCAAAGCCTACAGGTGTCACAGGTTCCTGTAAAAAGATGAATGCGGCCACAATCACAACCACGCGCTTCAATGTGTTCAAGACACTGTGTGATATCGGTTGAACCAATGATAAGACCCAAAATGAGGAAATCTGATATAAAGAGAAGAGCACACAAGACTCCGCAAGCCACGCCAGCAGTTGAAAAGATGACACATCACTCTCCGACCAAGCCTGCACCGTGGAGTTGAATCCGCGGGTTCCAAGCATGACCGCTGGCAAAGATATAATGGTACCAAGAATTGTAGTCATGGCAAACTGGTTGGTCATTTTGCTGACCGGGTCACTGCCCAAGTATTCAAAATCGCTATTTTTCTGCACCAGAACATTGCGCAAGGCAAAACACACATTCGAAAGCATAGCAAGGACCAAGGTGGATGTGTCGAATCCCCAAGAGGCAGTGGTCAAGCAAACTCCAAGAACAATTGGAATGAGAGCTGCGTATGTCAATGGATGCAAGCACTGCTGCAATACCAAAGCCGAGGCCACAGCATTGACAACAGGTTCCAAAGATTTCACCACGTGTGTGAAAGACACATGTCCAGCCGCAAGAGCAGCTTGAGTCGCAATTTGGCCTGCAGCAAAGCACATACTTGCTGGAATCATTGACGCAACGTCCCGCCGTGTTGCAGATGGCATCGGCAAACAGCACATCCACAATGCTGCTGCCATAATGTTTCCAGAAGCCAACTGAATCCAGGCAACGGACACTGATGCGTTGAAGGAGCGCAATACCATCTTGTTGACGAAATTATATCTGACATTGAAGGCATACCATGCACAAACGAACACCAGCAACTTTGCAAAGGCTAAGTTTGCACTCACCAACATATACATAATGAGCCGAAATGACTGCAACGTCATGGCTAGTAGCCTGACTCAAACCAATGCTATGCACAATCATTATGCAGGAAACTGCGACACGTGCCTGAGCTTGTATGTGTGCCCCCCTTCGCTGAAAGGCTGAAAACTATCGCTCAATGGCTCAGCAATATCGCTAAACCAATGGAAGCCATTTCTAATCTGTCCTGCTTCTGTCCTGCCCGCGCTTCGCAAATATTTGCGAATTGCTTGCCACACCCCATGTTTTCGGTATCCGGCTGAGCGGTTCATCCTGCCGCGGCGGCTTGTTGGTGATGCTAGGGAAGCCACAAGTTACAACCCAGGTTCAGACCGGCTTGGACATCAGGGGTCAAGCCCCAAAGGCCTCGTTTTTGGAGTCCCGAACCGCCCCGCAGTACCCAAGTCCACGCCTATTCCATCCAGTCTCCCGGTCGTAGCGGATCTTTTGCAAGACTTCCAGCATCGCGCTGAATAAGGCCCCTTAGCTGCATGGCTGTGTTTTGCTTGGAGTTGGCACCTATTTTTTGCGTTGGTTTGAAGGAAAACAAGAGAACCAACGGAAAGCATGGACAGAACTTGTTGGGCAAAGGGAAGCCGAATGCGTTCTCACCCATTGGGGGATCCCACTTTCACACAGACCTACATGGTCAGCCGGGCCATAAGCAATCTGCACTTGTCTTTGCGCAACCCCTGTGAGTCATAGAAACCAGCGACAGGAAGTTGTGCAGGAATTTAGCCAAACATCCCATGGTTGTCAAGGGCCCCCTAGTAGTCCCCACCCGCCAAATAGCGACTTGTCAGGCCAATTTGAGGTTGGTTGGATTCTTGCAAACCTTTGTGTGTGCCGTGTTTGCCCTTCTTGCCGTTCACAGCTGAAAGCTATGAGGTCTGTGCCCAGATAAGCTCTGAAGTGCGAAAACTTCATGGAGCGGTTGCTTCCTCCCCCCTCTGGTGCTTGCAGCGTCTGCTGGGCTTCACCGCGAAGAAGCCCCCGTCCAATGGCGCGATGAGACTTCCGGTGGCGAGGAACATCTGCTGACCTGGGGCATCCAGTTGAGTCACAATCACCTGGCGCTCAAGGGGTCTGCAAACCATGCAAAGAACGAAACAAGCAGACAAATTCGCCAGTTTAAGAAAAACATCGGGGGCCAACTCACCACACCCCAGCTCCCCCTTACGCTGAAAAGTGATGCAGAAAAAGAAAAACCCAACTCTAGACTCTAGTCGATGAATTCCTCTCTAGCTGCTTTTGATTGGGAGCGCAGGTTTCAAAGGCAATCCTTCACTTCTGGGGTAGCCGGGTTGATTCATTCGGGCTCGGCATTGGTCAACAGGACAAGCGAGTCCATTTCCCAAGAGTCAACCCAGCCCAAGGCACATCCATAGGAATGGGATCAATCTAGCAGAGAGATCCAAACACATTTTTCCGGGGGAGTTCGTTGACCAGTCATGTTCCTCATCTCGAACCCAGCGAATCCAAGAAGGGGCCCCTAATTGCAGCGACCTCTACAAACGGAAAATCCTCAGTCGTCTGTGGGCCTACAATGGGGTCCAGTTTCATTTGCCCTGGGATCAATGCATTTACCCTATATGAGCTGACACAAGGGTGCAGAAAGACTGCTTCTTTGGAGAATCTCCCTTCCATGGTTGGAAGAAGGTTCCAGTGTAGTCGGTGAGCAAAACAAGACTCTAGAACTGGATGGTTGAAGCCCCCAGCTTAGTGGGAAACATCATCTTCCAAGAGGTAACGTCTAAAGATCCGCCCAGCCAAAGGTGCCTTTCTGTCGCGGCTTGCCCGAACACAGGATCATTCGCCTCAAAGACCTAAACATTCCTGAACTTGAGTGATCAACATGACAGTGGACACCAATAGTGGGTTATTTAAACAATGATTTCACCATGTTTAACTTCCATTGCTGGAGCCCCCTGGCAAAAACGCAACCATCTGTCCAGTAGTGATAGATTCCCTATACAACCAAAAGACGGAATACAACATAGTATTAAGCAAATGGAAGCCGAGCCCTGCCAAACCAGAGCGAAGGCTGCTGAGCTGCCGCAGTTGAAGGCAGGTGCAAGATCCCCGACGATGCGCACGTCAGTGTCCAAGTAGACAATGACATCGTACTCGTCCAAATTCATGGCATGCAAACCTAAAGCCCATGCTCAAACATTCCGAAGGTCTCTCTCTCTCTCCCTCTCTCTTTCTCGTTCACTTCAGACTGCTAATTGCTACAAGTGCAAGTGTTGTCAAAGGAAGTTTAGTTAGAAAACTTCCGTAATACGAAAAGTAGAGCTAGACATGCGCAAGCAGAGTTAGACATGCGCAACACGCGAAGGGTACCCCTGTTCAGCGTGCGGGATCGCCACGGGGTCGGGAGGTTGCCCAC